AAATTTTCCACGAGTAATATTTGTGACTAGTGCTTAAAATTTTTAGTGTATTAGTGTTTTGTTTCTTTGATTAAGATACCTTTTTGCACATTAAGTGTACAGTAACTGCACTGGATTTTGATATGTTGGTATTGTATCCTGATTATTTTGAATTTATTATAGTAACATTTTTCTTTTTCTCTTTTTTTTATTAATTGTTATTATTTATTACATTGTAATCACCTTGTATCTCAGCTATAGCCCCCTCCTCTCCTTTCAACCCCACCCTACCTAGTTCTTCTAGTTCCCTGATAGGGGACGTCCTCCTCTCCTTCTATCGGACCCTAGCTTATCAGGTCTCATCAAGACTGGCTGCATTTTTGTTCCTCTGTGGCCTGGCAAGACTGCACTCCCCCATGGGGAGGTGATCAAAGAGCAGGACACTGAGTTCATGCCAGAGACAGCACCAGCTCCCCTTATTAGGGAATCACTTGGAGACTGAGTCTATGGGCTATATCTGAGTAGGGGTTTTAGGCTCTCTCCATGCATGGTCCTTGGTTGGGATATCAGTCTCTGCAGGGCCCCCAGGGCCTAGCTTTTTTTTTTTTTTTTTTTTTTTTTATTTTTTTGTGCAGGGCCCCCTGGGCCGGGTTTTTTTTTTTTTTTTTTTTTTTTGGCTCTGTTGGAATAACATACTTCTTAAGGGGATATGTTTTTCTACTTACAATTCATGTCATCTGTGAACATGGATAAATCACTTCCCTTTTTCCAGTTGGGAAATTTCATTTTTCTGTTATCTAAATTGTCTAGAGCTTTGACTCTGTTGCAGAATATAAGAGGTTGAGAATGAGCCTTTTCTTATTTCTGATATTACAGGAAAAACCTTTAGTCTTTCATCATTGAATATGGCATTAACTGGGAATTTTATGCATGGTTTGTTACACATTTTTGTTATAAAATATATAACATTTTGTTACAAAGGTAGTATATCATGAAAAAATGTTTTTATAGCTCTCATTTTTAAAAGTACATTTGATCCTTAGTGTGTGTACACACACACACACACACACACATACGTTTTGAAGTTAAATTTTTGTTAATTTCTGGCTTAATTTCTCTGGTATCAAAACATGTCTGTCTTTGAAATTTGTTAAGTTTTACTTTATAATCTAGCATTTAATCACTTTTGGCAAGTGTTTTATATATAATTAAAGAAAGTATTTTCTAAGTCAGAATCCTCTGTGAAGTTGTTGACCTGGTTGTGCCTCATTCATTCTGAACTGCTTGTTCCATGAGTTGCTGAGTATGCCCTCCTAAAATCAACTTAGTACTCAAAAACTAATTTCAGACAGGCCTTTAGGGGTTGGCTTTGTTGACAGTCAGACTTGTGTTTCTTATCTAGTTTATTTGGAAAAAGTCTGTTCATATAGAAGTAAAATTAGTATAGTAGTAAAACTGTATGAGAAAGTATATCCTCAGTGCAGTTGGTAGAATATTGGACTCTCATGTGGACATTTCAAAGTCCCTGTACTAGGTACAAAGAGAATGTCTCTGATGCTGCTGGCAATAGGACATAATAAGAGCTGGCCAGGCAGTGATGGCGCCCACCTTTAATTTCTGCAGTCAGGTGGTAGAGGCAAGTGGATCTTTGTGAGTTCAAGGCCAGCCTGGTCTACAGAGTGAGTTCCAGGACAGCCAGGGCTACATAGTGAGACCCTGTTTCAAAAAACAACAACAACAACAAAAAACCCCGAAATAAAACAAAAAGACATATCCAAAGCCTTTGAGCCATTGTCTGCCGTGTGTCTTTGTCTTGAGCATGTATCTATTTTCCTTTTCTCTTTAGCCTTTAGTTTTTCTTAAATTTATGGAATGTGTGAAAATGCTTTGTTGTCACTGTGGAAAATGCCAGGGAGAAAGTTAGTTACTGCCTATTAAATTGTGTAGTAAGCATTTTATATCCTAACCAGGATAATTTATTTCTGTGAATGGACATTTTTTAAAATTTCAGTTAAAGTTTAAAAAGAGAAATGATTGGAGATCATGCTTTTATATGCAGCATAATTTTTCCACTTAAAAATAGCAAATAAACTCCTACAGTTTGGCACAGAATAACTTTTTTAAGAACAGATTTCTGATTATATGTGATATTAGGTATTATATCTTACTGTTAAAATGAACTTCAAATAAATTATGTGAGGCTGGATAGATGGCTTGCAGGTTAAGAATAATAGTTGCTTTGAAAAGAACTCAAGTTTGAGTGCCAATGCTCGCATGGTGGGTGACAGTTTGTAACTCCAGTTCCTGGGAATTGAATGCTTCTTCTGGCCTCTGTGGGCATTAAGGCTCACAGATGATGTGCAGACTTACATGCTGGTAATACAGATACATAAAGTCAAAACCATTTATTTATTTGGTGGTGGTGATAGTGATGTGTATGTGTCCATGTGTGTACTTGTTCTTTGTCTCACATATGGAGGTCAGAAGTCAACTTGAAGGAGTCTCCTCTCCTTTCACTACATGGGTCTATGGATCAAACACAGGTACACTCAGGCACCTTTTCCTGCTGAGCCATTTCACTGGCTTTAACAGAACTTTTTTTGTAAATTGACCAATGTCTTCATCCCAGTGTATATGTCTGTCTTGACTTGAAGTTTGTCATGACAAACTGTGACATAAAACTTGTGCTCTGGTTTGTTGATTTTATATTCCTTTTTTCAATTGTATCTAGTTTGTTATTAAAGTTTGTTTTTCTTTTCAAAATGGTTTGTTTGGTTTTTTTGAGACAGAGTTTCTCAGTGTAACAGAGTCTTGCCTGTCCTGGACTCATTTTGTAGACCAGGCTAACCTCAAACTCACAGAGATCCATTTGCCTGTGTCTGCCTCCTGAGTGCTAAGCTGAAAGGTGTACGCCAACCAACCATGCCCAACTTTTATATTTTTAATCCATTAATAAAAACAGTATTTTTAACTTAAAATCTTCCTGATAATACTCTTCTATTGATCTACTGTAGATAAGTTTCAATTCCCACTCTTAACTTTATTTGTTCTTTTAAAATTTTTAGTATTTTATATGAATATGATGGTAATGTGATTTTTGAGCTGAAGTTTTCATTTGCTCCTGAAAGGTAGCAAGGCTAATAACTCTCACTAGTCCAGTTTGCCTTAGTCTAACCTGGCTGAAATGACTGTAGTGGTCTTCCCCGTGTGGATTATTCTGTTTCTCATGTACTGTATCTATCTATGGGATAGTCCTTTGGAGTCTTTCCAGATGCCTGGTATGCTTGCTAAGGCTATTCCTCCTGTGCAGGCTTGAAATCTGATTTCTGCACTTTCATTTGTAGGTGTGTTGGAAGCACTGTTGACTTTCTCAGTATCATAGTCAGTAGTTTCCAGAATCCACCTACAATAACAACAAAGTTCAAAGACTGGTTTCTTCCAGATCTCAGACTTTCAAATTAGCATAATTGAAAGTTATAAATTGCCTTAAAACACTACTTTTTAGACTTACTTTTTTAGTTGTTCTAAGAGGAAAGTTGACTAGAGTGTCCTGTTTCAAAACTTTTGAGGGAATTTGCATATAATGTTCTCTTGTATGTATATCTTCACATTCTGGTAAACATTTTCTTACCTGCAAATCCAAGTTGGGTATAGGTCAGATAAATGACATTTTCAGTTTAAATGGTACAGATTCATTCGTGTGATGGTTTGATGTCTTTCCCCTGGTGGACTCTAAACTTTGAAAGATTAGGAATTTATATTATTTCTTGACACACCCCCTATTTTTTTCTCTTTTTGACTCTTTTTCTCCATCTTTCTCCCGATCCCTCCCCCTCATTCTTTTTTTCTTTTTTGCTATCCTTGGGATTGAACTTTAGGCATCCAGCATACTGGGCAAGCATTGCCCCTCAATAGAGAGCATTGGCTCTTTATTGAGCATTTTATCATTATGCTCGATTTGATGTGTGGGAGTACATTTGATGTGAATATTGTGTTAGTAAGTTATCATTGTAGCAGGTATTATAATTACATAAATTTAAAAGTAAACTAATGAATGTGGGAAGATCAGTAAGCAGGGGTGCCCTGATATCAGGAAGTGAAAAGCTCATGCCTTCAAGTAGATTCACATTTAATAAGCCCCTGAATTTGCCCAGTAAAGTTGAGGTTGTATAGGCAGGTATAACATTTGGTCTTAGAATTTACACATTCATATTCACTCCCCCAAGTAGCTTATAATTTCTATAATTTCTTTTACCAAATTGAATTGGTCTTGATTTCATTAATAAGGTGGTATTTTAACTGAATCTTAATGAGGAGGTACTTATTCAATGGCCAGAGAAATAGTATTTCACTTAAATGTATAATAATATAAAATTTATGCAGTAGTATCATTGTGGACCAATGAATACTATTAACATTTTGGTTGTAGGGTAATTAGAACTTCTAAGGGCAGATAGGGACCAGTCATATTGTTTACCTTTTGCATGTAGGTCATCACGAGCCATATGTTGTTGACAGGTTCTGGAGTCTGACTTCAGAAGTCTTATCCCAATGATTGTCTCTTTACTTGGTGACTTTTGACACATTACTTGATTTTTTTTTTCTATGTCTGTATTCCTAGTCTCCATAGTTACAAATGGAGGTAAAAAAAAGTCTAAGTAAAGAGATTGTAGATAAGAATGATTTTTTTCCATTCTTAGAAAAATGCCTGGCATTTAGAAAAATCTCAGCAACATTGGCTGCTGTTTTTATTATTATATATATTGGAAAACCTTGAACACTGTAGCTGTATTTGCTTAGAAATAAAGTTGCAAAGAGATCCAGGAGACCTTTTAGAGATAAAGTCAATAAGGAAGACTTGAGCCTACTTACTCTGTTTCTAAAAATTCCAGCCCAAGAACGCTTACTATGTCAGCATAAAATCAGATTTGAAATTTGTGTAGTATTTAATGATTTACAGATTTATAATTGTATGGAATTGAATGAAATCTTCTAAATTGTGTTTTTTGTTTCGTTTTTAGATTTTTAAGAAAATTACAGCAGCAGCCTTGGACTAGAAGGTTAAATAATAGAACGTGTGTACAATGCATTAGGATATTAAAGAAAATTAGTTTTTGAATTATTTGGAATATAAGGAAGAAAAGGTGACTGAAAATGGGGCGGAAGAAAATACAAATCACACGCATAATGGATGAGAGGAACCGACAGGTAAATAAAATTTTAATTTATTTAGTTGGTAGTTGTGTTTTTAAAACATGCTATAGAAGTTCAGATGTTTCTTAAATGTTTAAAGTTTTAGAATAAATGAAAAATATTAGATATAAAATTGTCTCTTTCTGTCATATACTTTAAAGAAAACTTCAAGGATGTAGGTAGTGGGATAGTAAAATCACTGTAATCCTTCCATTTTTTACTTGTATAGTTTTCAGACAATGCTTTAGCCTTTGTTGGCAACTCACTTTTGCTATTCTGTTGTGATTGTTGTCAGACCATCATCTTTTATCATACTAAGGACTGTGCTAGTTTACAGATACTGGTGAGTGTTTTGAGTCAACTTATAGTTTATGGTTAACCAATAAATAAGAACATAATTTTGAAGCGTTATTACCTCACATTTCTAAAGCATTTATGTATCATATGTCAGCTTTAGGTGATGTTTGCAATGCTTTTAAATTAGAACTTCAGTATGATGCTGATCCATCAAGAGTCCAATTGTTGTATTTAAAACTGATTGGCAAACTGTCCCCAGAACTAGCTGCCTGTTTTTTCAAGTGTTATTAGCATCACTGTGCCTGTTCATTTGTATATTTTCTATATGGACTAGTTGGCATAAAACTCTAAATCTTTTATTTAGGCCCTAAATCTTTGATGTCTGTCATTTTAAGAAAAGTTGACTGGCCCTTTGATTTAGAGAAAAGAACAAAAAAGAATTTCAGAGACTTAAGTAGAGTAAGCCGCTCATTCCTCACGTTCAAAGCACATTCAGTAGGGAGAGATGTTTTCTCTGGGGAGTTTGTCAGAGATTTGAAGAACAGCTTCTACAAGCTCAGTAAGATCAACACAGCACTAAAAATGTGCTTTTGCAAGGTGAGTGTAGAAGTTTAGCTGTATGCAGATATAACTAGATCCAGCCTAGTTAGTGGCAGGAGGGGAAGTGGCTGTTAGTGGAGTCACCAGAGCAGTCCATGGCTTGAGGTAAGCCCTTGTTTCAACTTGTGAAGACTACTCAGCAAGAAAGCATAGGTCTACACAGTATGTACAGTATATTAGGATGACTGATAAAATAGCCATCCTGTCGTTGGAAAGGAACGGTTCCAAGGAAAACTACGTGCAAACTTTAAACACGTGAAGATGGCGGCATATAGCAGACACAGGTATAGATGTCTAGTAAGGCTTGTGTGCAAGCTGAGAAATGGCATAAAATCTCCCGGCTCTCATCTCAGGAATACCCAGTTAGGTTGGGCATAGCTAGGCTAGACCTGCATGTTGAAGATTTAATATTTAAAGGGAAAGAGAAACTAGGCCTATTTAGGTGGCTATGTAATGGGAACTTTATAAGTTGAGAGGATGACTTTGTCTGAAAAGAGACAGAGTTGGGCCGGAAGGGATAGAAGCTGGATCTTGGAGGTGTCAAGTGAAGGAGTAAATATAATAAAGATATGCACAAAATTATCAAAGAACTAATGAATAATTTTTGATATCTTATAAGTCTTGTTACTACTGGCTGGAATATCTATAGAACTTAGGTGAAAATAAAGTATCCATTGTTTTATATAATAAATATATTCTTGACTAGTTACTTCTTGAGAAAGTGCTAATATATCAAATTCTGTTTTCTTATTGGGTCATGTTATAAAATGAGAAATTGTTTTTCAATATGAGAAAAAGGTATCTCATTTTGAGAAAAAAAAAGATATTTTTAATATTCTAGCCAATATTTTAGTACAACACCTTAGATGTAAAGAATTCATTCTTTCTCTCTCTCTCTCTCTCTTTCTCTCTTTCTCCCTTCCTTTCTTTCCCTTTCTCCCACTCGCTCTTTCAGTTTTCAAGACAGGGTTTCTCTATGTAGCCCTGGCTGTCCTGGAAATTGCTCTATAGACTAGGCTGGCCTTGAACTCAGAGATCTGCCTGCCTCACCTCCCAAGTGCTGTTATTAAAGGCGTGTACCGCCACTGATACAAAATATTAAAAGAATGGAAACTATAACTGAAGCTCAGTAACTAGAATTAGTCTGTTTCTACTTTGGACTTATTTGATATGTTGGTGTTTTTGCTAAGTTATCAAGTGGGTAATGGTTGTTCAAACCTCTCAAATGCTGTCTCAGTAAAGAAGGAAGGTGAGAAGGTGTAATTGGGCAGTTTGATTTTTAGATTAGATTTGGTATAGGCGCATTGTCATAAACTAAAATGGTATCTTAATTATACTTTTCAAAAAGTGAATTTTGGGTTAAAATTTTTCTTTGTTACATAAATGGGAAAATAGTTTGTAATTTACCCAAATCAAGTGTATTTTTAAGGGACTAAACTAGATTCTGGAAAATCATTAAAATATATATTCTATCTAGGAGATTTAAATATATAGCATATAGAAATGAGATCAGATATTGGGACAGTTTATGTAACAATCTGTAACTGATAATGGGTAATTTAGGAAAATACAATAGGAAAGCTAACAGCAAGTAGAGTTTTGAATTGCAAGTATGAATTAATCACGTAAAAAAAAACATACTTAGAGTTTGAAAAAGTACATGGAAAATATTTGTCATAATATCATGCATTTCAAGAAAAGAGCTGTTTTACTTCTCTTCCACTTGGTAGGATCTAGCAAAATCTGTGTTTATCCCTTTATATCAAGGAAAAACATAAAGGAAAAGTTCACATATTTTAAATGTATGATGCAGTGAATTTTGGAAGGAAGAACATGGTCTTGTAACTACCCTGATGCACCACCCTAGAGCCACTGTTTGTCCTGTCTCCTGGTCTCCTGCTCCAAGGGAAGTCATTTAAATCGATCTTCAACACTATAGATTAAGTATACCTCCATGTTCAGTGACATAGTAAATGTTCTCAGCAATAGGGCCTTACCATCAGGTTGTAGAGAGCCACCAATCGCCTTGGCAATAGCCTGTGGTGTTGAAAGGGAGGTTGAGGGGACCCTTTTGGCCAACAACTCAAGTTGTTGCCCATTTCTGGAATTGAAGATTTTAATGGCATAAGATAGCTACTTAAAACACTGTTTCTCTTATTATGTGGTGACTCCATTTAAAGCCCTTTCCTTTGTGTACATATTTTAGCTTTTACAGTACAAGGTAACACATTTTTTTAAGGCCTTTAGTAGTATCCTTCCCATATTTCCTCCTTTACCGTGCTTCCCACCCACCCCTCCAATCCTTTTATTCTAGTATCCCCTTTATCGCTTCTTAACACTATATTCTTCTTCTTCCTTGGGAGGTTCCCTCATCTGCCCTGGTCCCTTAACTAAGAACTTAACCTCTGTGGTTATCTGCATTTGACAAGAATTTTCTTAAGCGTTTGTGCTTAATTTGTATTTAGCTAGCAGTGTGATGCAAGCTGCTTTAAATCTGTACTAGTGCTAGGAATTACCCTTCCCCTTTGATCCATTCTAGTAGACTAGTAGACAAGCAATAGATTTTAATTTTAATTCGAAATTTCAGTGATATCTGATGAAGTTGTTTGCCTTTTTGTGTTTTTATGTTATCTAAAGTGTGTGTGAGAGAGATGAGACAGAGTGAGAGAGACAGAGAGAGAGAGAATTTGTTAGGGTTATATACCTGAGCATGGATGGGAATTTGTTTACAGGACTATGGATACCTTCCTTACTAGTGGCTACATTACTGGAAAAAATGTCTTTTGCTCCCTCATCTGTGCTAACTGCTTATAAATCATAAGGGAACAAAAAGACCCTCTCCCTTCCATGACAAGGTGTTGAGAATCTTAATCTTGTGTACATTTTGTGTAGGTAATCATAGCTGATGTTTGTTCAAGTGTTCAAGAACCATGTCATGTTTAGAAATCAATATTGTATACCTCCTGTATTGGTCAGGATTCTCTAGAGAAGCAGAACTGACAATTATATATATATTAATATATATTAATCCAATCAAGAAAAATCTATCACATGTATACCCAGTAGCTTGGGTTTTGTAAATTCCGGTGTAGTCACATTGACAGCCAAGAAAGAGCCATTATACCTCAATTTTTTTTTTTTTTTTTTAAGATTGAGGGGAGTCTCTCAAAGCCCTAGCTGGTCTCAGATTTGGGGGTTCAAGTCACCCTTCTGCCTTAATCTCCTCAGTACCTAAGACTGTAAGCATGGGATATCACCCCCCGCAAAGTTTACCTTTTTGTTCTTTCCCTTATTTATTGGTGATGTTTTTTTAAGTCGTATTTAAGAACTTTCATTTTCTAAAAGCAGTGAAAAGAATTCTTTTAAAATACAAGGACAGTCTGGCTGTTACATGTCACTCCATTTAATCACCAGGGTTGATTGAGCTGAATTGGCTGTCTATACAAGTGTCCTCTCATCTCACCCCTGGTGAGTGCCTGGTAAAGATCATGTTACCACTAGAGGAGGACCTTTCTTTGGTAGCTGCACTCCCTGTTCAGATCTCTAAACAAGGGCTGAGATAATTATTCTGTGCCTTCTTCTAGAAGTGGTTTTTTTGTTTTGTTTTTTTGTTTTTATGTTTTGGGTTTTTATCCATTTGGAATTTATGTTTGAGTTGAAGTGTAGGGGTCAGATTATTATTATCCCAATTGAATGTTCAGTAACCCAGTGTAATTCGTTGCATTTCTCTCCTGCATGACTTTGAGTCAAATAACAGTGTATTTGTGGGTCTATTTCTGGATCCTGTATTTTGTTCCATTTGCTTATTTGTATATCCTTGCTCAGTTCTACACTATTGCAATTACTATAATTTGCTATCTGGTAACATAGTTGGCTGCCATTGTATTTCTGTAGAATAGGCTGACTGTTCTTCCCTTTTCATTTCGAAATTGAACTGTCAAATCAGTGTTTACTCAAAGGCAACCAATCAAAAATCCTCCTGGATTCAGGTGTTTCCCAACTGAATGTGCGTATCCATTTAGAGACACAGAAAACTTTATAATAATAGCTCTTATAACCCTTGAACATACTTACATTTCATTTGGTTTTTATCAGTTCTCCTGATAGGGTTTAATGGT